GCGAAATTAATGGGCGATTCATGAAACAATGTGACGGAGAGGTGACAGGAAGTCATGCTCACTCAGAGGTAGATGGGAGGAATTGCTTATGCTGGGCCCCCATTGTGTCGTTTCTCCCATCAGATGTGAAAAGAACCTGACTTCTGTGTCCATTTGCAAGGGGCCTTTCCGTCCAGACCACTTTGTTGTATCTCTTGTGTTCAGAAAAATTAATCTTTAATGAATGCTCATCAAGTTTCTAATTACAATATCTTTATATTTAATGTTTGTGTATCAGATGAAAGGCAAACATTTTGGGGCTAGTCACAAAGCACATGCATAATTTCCATAGAAGCTTATCTAATTAATTGTATTGCTCTACACTATCTTTAAATTTTGAACTGCTATCATTTCATTAGTTTCCATAAAAGTGAATCTTGAGTATTTAAATATGGTACTTGTGTTATGAATGATGATGAGTTGCAGTGATTTCAGTTGTGTGTGATCAGCTAATACAAACAAAGGCAAGATTTCTTGAAGAAGTTATGGGGATTTGGAACGCTGGTTTCTTGTTTATTTTATTTTGCCTTATTGTTCTTCTACCAAATTTAACAATTCCAAGTAATACTCATCATAAATTCCTGGGACAGTCATCTACTCAGGGTAATCCTTTGCATACTCAGGAAAAAATAAACATATAAATATAAAAACATGTCATTTTTCTGGCCAATCTGGATTATACTAACTTTTCTAGTTTCTGATGAAGAAATCTGTCCATAAATCCCCACGACCAAATGCTATCACACAGAGTCATTAACAAGGAAAACAAGATTTCTCCTGATCCGGCAACAACTTTCACTCCTAGCTTTAACTCCAGGTCATCTCTGGATATTATCTACCAACCAGTGCTCCTAAGTCCATGAGCTCCTGCATAGGTGTTGGATGTTTAAATGGGTGGATTTTTCACCTTCCTTTACCTTTAGTATCTGTTGTTATATTTTGTTATCAGTTGATTCCCACTCGTGTTGTTATTGGTAGGTAACAGAACACCCCCCAATCCTACACCATCTTCACAATTACTCTTATATTCTCGCCCATAGTCACAGCCACGGTGTCACTCCATCTCCCTGAGAGTCTTCCTCTTGGTCACTACTGCCCTCCACTTTAGCAAGCTTGATGCCCTTCACCCTTGATATTCTCTCCAGACGTGTCCAACGCATATGAGATGACGTCTTGCTACCCTTGTCTCTAAAAAGCACTCTGACCATATGTATTCCAAGATAGATTTATTTGTCCTTTTGGCAGTCCATAAAAATCAAACTCACTGTCATAGAGTTGATGCCAACTCATAGTGAGCCCCCTGTGGGTTTCCAAGAATATAACTGTTTACGGGAGTAGAAGCCCAATCTTTCTCCTTCAGAGTTGCTGGTGATTTAGAACTGCCAACTATGCAGATTGCAACCTAACATATAACCACTACTCTACTAAGGCTGCTTGGCAATTCTTCAGCAGCTCCACAATTCTAACTCTTCTTTAGTCTTTTTATTTTCTGTATTCAATGTCCAGCCTTCGCTTGCATATGAGGTAATTGAAAGCACCATGGCTTGGGTCAAGTGACCTTAGTCCCCAAAGGAACATCCTTGATTGTCAACACTCATTCTTGTGCAACAATGCAACAATTCTTTTGATCTCTTGACTGCTGCTTCCATGAGCAGTGATTGTGGATCCAAGCAAGACAAAATCCTTGACAACGTTAATTTTTTCCTCATTTGCCATGATGTTACCTATTGGTTCAGTTGTGTCATTTACATATCAAAGGTTGCTAATAAGAATTCCTCAGATCGTAATACCAGTTTTGTCTTGCTTTGTTTTTTCCCATTCCCATGCCTAGCAGCCCTCTAGCAGAGTAGAGCTGCCCCACAGTGTTTCCTAAGCTAAAATCCAGATCACTTCTTTTCTTATGCA